TGAAATTGAAGCAAAAAGACTTGCTTCCGTAGATGAAGTGAATACCATGCCACCGATTCCACTGTAAAACTCCAACACTCTCCGGCAACCGTGTGCCTCGGACGACCCCTTCGCCATTCCGATTACTGCCTCTAATCTACCAATCGCTTTTTACCAAACAAAAATTCGTATGATATAACAAAAATCCCTAGTTGCCTCCTGCCAATCAATGACCAATACCCTAGGGTTCTTACAAGTTTTTTAAATAAGTAAACTGTAAATTAAGAAAACAAAATATCAGTTTTCTCACTCTTGTTGGGCCCACTTTTAAGCTTTATAGGGATTTTAATAGAAATTATTTAATAAATTTTGAAATAAAAATATTATATATAATATTGGTTTCAATTTAATTCTGAAAAAGTTTCTTATATATAAATTTGAAATAAAATTATAAATGTCTTAATTTACTAAGATGGTAAAATAACTTAATATATATAAATTCTTTGACTGTATTTTAATTTATTTTACATTTAATGCTTTTAAATACAAAAAAAAAAATACTATAGTTTAATATGTGTGTAATGTCTGTTTTTTCTTATGAAAATGAATATATTGGTATATATTTGTTACATTCCCGTCTCAAAGTAACTAATATACACACATATGTATATATATATTATAAATTTGGGATTAAGTATATTTATTTTTATATTAGATGGGAGTAATAATTAACTTAAATAAATCAACATCTAGAGAATATAATTCCTTTAAAGCGTAAGTAAAAAAATTTGTTATTGACCTCATAATTCACTATTTTAGTCTCGGACCCAAATTATTATTGAGAAATAGAGTTTTGAGATGTTTAGCAGAATATATATTTTTTATTCAGAATCTGAGATTTGAAAAATATGTTCCCGAAAAAAGTTGATAAATTTTGGCTAAATTTCCATAAAAATTATTTTCTGTCAGTATATAATTAATAATTTTCAGTTAAAAAAGTCACCGAACAAAGAAATATAATCATGATCTTATTAATCCGCAATAATTAGATTTAATCACGAATATTGAAATATGATGTTACGATTTTAATTTTTTTTACCCTATTATTGTAAATTTAGAAACTTATGGTATATCAAATATATGTATCGTAAACTGTCTCATATTTATCCTTTTTAAATATGTTTATTCTTATTCTAATAAAATAAAAAGGTTGTCTTGTCTTCGGCCCAAGTACTTTAACCCAACTCCTCTTGGTCTCACACTGACACTCTAACAGGTTCGAGGGAGAGGAGCAAGCAAAGGGTGGGGTGCAGGTCTTCCTCTTTAGCGGAGCCATGGAAAGCGATGACGACGTTGACATGCACGCAGCCGACGCCAACGAAGTACTCATGCTTTCCCTTCTTTCTCTTTTTTCTTAATTTTCATTTTAATTTTCTGCATTCGCCTAATTTCGTTGCATCCAACCTGCCTGGTGTTGCCGCCGTTCATTCTTGAACCCTAATTTGTTCGTTCCTCGATGCCAACTCATCTGGGTTTAGGAATTGGATGACATGAAGAAGCGCTTGAAAGAGATGGAGGATGAAGCTGCTGCTTTGCGAGAGATGCAGGCCAAGGTCGAGAAGGAAATGGGATCTGTTCAAGGTGCCTCCCTTTTCTGTTTTGTTATTTTCTCTCTCCAAAAAAATGTATATTTGAAACCACTTTTCTTTTTTTTTTTAAATTTGGAAAATTACCTCTTGGGAAGAAAATGCTATAGTGTGCAGTGAGTTGGATATATTCAAAATTGAAAGTAGTTTATTTTTTCTTTTTTGTCTGTGTTGGATATATGTTTTGATCAGTAGACTAGTTTTAGGTTCTTAGCTGGTGGTCATGAGAAATTCATTCTTAGTTTGGTCATAAATCATAAGATATATATCCATACCCTTCTACCCATTCGAGATCGGTATTAGAAATCCTGAATAGTGTGGTTTGTAGTGGCCTGCCCCATAAACGTTACAGTGGGATAACAGATACATATGGGGTAACCACAATTTCGAATCTTTTTTGTGAAGTCTATAGTCTATATAATATGTATAACGGATGCATATAATTCTAAAAGTCGATGAAATTTTCTAAAGGTTAATGACCGTTCTTAATTAAAAATAAAAAGTTATAGATGTCTTAAGCTATGTGCTATTTAGGCCGCTACACTAAGGTTCTCTGCCACAGCAGCGCCTGTAGCTGCCAGGGGCCACTTGCCGCTATTGCTCTGCCAGCGCGCTAGTAATGTTGTTAACTTCTGTTTGAAAATTCGGAAGAACCGTTCTTTGATGCTTGGGTTACAAATATCAGTTCTGTTATTTTTTCCCTCAGTTTTTCTTGAAATTGTTTTCTTTCCTTGATATTGGGCATACAATTGTTTTTTTAATGCATAACATATATTATTACAATGTATTTTGTTGGACTCCAATCTCCGTTGTTAATTATTTTCTCCAAAATTAGATCCTGCAACTGCTTCTGCGAGTCAGGCCAATAGAGAGGAAATAGATTCTCGATCAGTCTTTGTAGGCAATGTGAGCTCTCTCTTACCCTGTATGTTATCGTGCTTGATTGTCTTTCACCGTCTGTCATCGTTCATGATATGGGTCAAGGGCTTGTAGTGTCTGATTCATTTATGAGTCAAAGTGTTTTGATCAGTAAATATGTTGGGCTTCATCATATTCTAGCCATTAAATTTCTTTGATGATTGCTTTTTACTGTTTTGAAATTTTAGTATATTTCCAAGCAGTGGCATCCTGCTTTGACATAATGTTTTGACTACAATCGCAGGTCACGCTTCCACCTACAAGTTTTCTGGTTTTGTATTGCAGCAGTTGAAAGTATATGTTATAATATATTTGGAGAGTAAAAATGTTAGCATTGTATGTTATTAAAAAAATGGAGTTGAAAAACAAAATATACAACACAAAAGAAACATTGAGGGATAAAGGAGATGACAAGAGCGTTAAAGAAGTATTTGTTGAGGGATAAAGTGATTTTTGTGGTTTTGTGAATTTCCATATTTTTCTTTTGGAACGAAAAAAGGCAATAAAGAAAATAGAATAGGAAGTCATCAAAGGTGAAAAGGAAAAATCTTTAACTAGGACTTTTTTTGTATATACATTCCAAGTATTTGCAATGGGATATTGACAGGAAACCAATTAAGCGTGGATTGGAGATAAAGAATCTGGACTCCTAATGTTGAGAAGAGGACATATTTTATGGGTACAATGCTATGCATGCATATCTGTCACTTGGTCAAACTTTCTGTGGTGCTAGTTCATGTAATACTTATTCTCTCTCATGGTGAGGGACTGTTGTCATTCCCTTTTTCTACTTTGGGATTAGCCTATTGGCTTTTTTGTTTTCTGATACACTTTACACCAGAAAAAACTAAAGGAAAATTGAAAAAATAAACAGTGATCAAGAAGGAAGGTGGTGCACTTCAGTGAGTGGGCTTCTCAAAATCCTAGGTCCTCTCATTGGGAGGTAGAAATGCACAATTATATTGTTTTAATATATGTAAAACAAATGAGGAATGATAGCAATAATAATAAAATTTCGCTCACAATAGATCTTGTAATTCAAAATGCATAAAAGATTTTAGTTATGACACGATTTTTCAAAAACAGATACTTCTTGATGACATTTTTAATGAGAAAAATCTTAAATTAAGTGGAAGAAGCAGGGAATGCAAAGACATCACCTGTAGACCAGCAAAGCATGAAACTTTGCATATGACTAACAAATTACCCACAAATCAGCTAATAATGGGAACCAAGGATAGTTTCAGGTACAGAAGTCTGCCCAGATATGATTCACTCAGAAACAGAGACTTCCAAACCACCAAAGCAGCACATCCCAGTAGCCATCTAGTTGCTCAAGATTGCAGGCAGAGCTTCAAATTACACTGTAGAAGCAGCAGCAGCAATGGTTTGAAGAACCCACTGAATAATATTTTCTGGATTTACACAAAATTCCATTTCCTAGTTTTTTTCTCCATTTGTCTGCTGGTACTTTATTATGCGACCGACCTTGCATTTTAGGTATAAATCTTGCTACCACATGGACCAGGCAAAATATTTCTGCATCCCTGAAACTTTTCAGCTTGCTAGAACAGCCATGTTTCAGATATAACACATGGCGGCTAAGAGATGATTTTGGTTTTGTTTCTTCCTCTATCTTAAATGGGCTAGGTAAAACAATAAATTTATTAGGGGGGAGGCTTTAAATCTACTGTATGTTGTGAACCTTTTTTCTTTTACTGGTTGAAATTAACTGACTTGCTCAAAGCCCAAAATTTATTCCATTAGCATTGGTAATGACAATGATGGCAAAACCTATATTGGTATAGGTTTGCATTTTGCCTAGTTGTTGTGCCTTTTTTACATCATGAGATCAAGTTTTGGAAGTTATATTACAATATCTGAGATCTGTAACAGTTTTATTAAAGGAAAAATAATTTGCTTTCAGCCTATGGAGATTGCAAATATGGAAATAAACAGAGCTTAGTTGTTCTGCCAAAGAAGGTTGATCTTCACCATTTTTGGTCCTGAGCCAGTGATAGCTGCCACAGAACAGTTCTATATTGAATGTATATATTGTTATATCTATTTCAGATGGTTTTGTTGACGAAGCTGGTTGGATTTTTAAAAATGTGTTTCTTTCAGTAAATGTTGTATTGATATTTAGTGACGCTAATTATGTCTGGTTGTACTTGTAGACTAGAAACTGGTAAGTATCATCTTCTAACCTTAATTTGGTGATAACGGATACTTGAAAACATGTCATGTGGTGAATGTTTTGGCTTTACTTGTTTGTTTATTCATATAATGTCTCATGGGTTTGATAATCTCCACAGGTGGACTATTCATGCACTCCTGAAGAAGTGCAACAGCATTTTCAGTCTTGTGGAACAGTAAACAGAGTCACCATTCGAACTGATAAGTTTGGCCAACCCAAGGGTTATGCTTATGTTGAGTTCCTTGAGGTGGAAGCTGTTCAGGAGGCCCTTTCGTTGAATGAATCTGAACTTCATGGGCGCCAATTAAAGGTTAGAGAGTTAGAGGGTATAGCTGTTGAATAGACTGCTTCCTCTTTCTAATAATAATATCTTCTTATTTGAGCATTTGTTAGGTGACAGTTAAAAGGACCAATATACCAGGGATGAAACAGTATCGTTCCCGCCAGGCGAATCCTTACGCTGGGGGCTTTCGAGGCAGAACCCCATATGCACCTCCCTTTATCTATTCTCCATATGGATATGGGTAACAATACAATCTATCATCCCTTTCAAATCTTTTTATCTTGCAACAGACATATTAACAGCATTTGTCTGTGAATTGCAGAAAGGTCCCAAGGTTCAGAATGGCAATGCGCTACAGCCCCTACTATTAACTGTCCAATTCGGGTAGGATGGACTAAACTAAATGACTCCCTTCTACTCCTACGTAGTGTCATGGTCAGAGTTTTGGCCATTGAACATGGGGGAGGGAAAATCCAACCAGTTCTGTGAGGATTAAGCGTTTATTTATCAGCCAACCTTGTAAAATTGTGGTGTTTGCAATTGCTTTGCTTTAGTATTGTTATATTATATTGGATTAAGTTCGTGTAAAAGTTTCCTTCGCAAGTGTGATTAATACATGGGTTTTGGGTTTTATCCAATTTTCTCATTCGTCCTTCTTCATGAACATCTTAACTGTGAGTATTATTCCTGTTAAGATAACAAAGATGGATCTCCTGTCAATAGTACTTCCTGTCCAATCTACTTTAGTATAACCTTTAATATCCGAATGATTACTCTCCATTTGATCTTTACTTTGGCACTGCATAATTTGACTTATCATACTTACTCTCCTGGTGATTGATATCTGATCGTGTGTGATAACCTTCGATTACTCTTCTTATCAGTGGTTTTGATCTGGAAGTCTAGAACGTATTCCTTTAGGATAGAAATATGCCTTTTTTTTTTTGGAAAATGTAATCACCTCACAGTACTTTATACCTCTCAACTACAAATGCTTTTGAAGTCTCGAACTTTTGTCTGTCATTCATGTAATTATCATATCAATGCAACCATCAACGTAAATTATCAATGATCTTACTATTTGGATGTTTCATAAAAATTAAAGCATGATCAGAATGACCTAGCTTGAAGCCAAAATTTTAAATCACTACTATACCGAACAACCCAGAAATATGCACGGTATGATGATTTCACGTCATAAACGAGCATCTACAATAAAGAAAAAATATGTCCGTTAAAATGGAGTAGAGAAAATAACTCTTGTATTCTTAATTAATGTTAACTTATAATAAAGGATTTTTTTATTTATAAATGTTATTAGTATAATTAGTATTAATTATTTTTCTTAGTTAGTGAAAAGTTTATTAGTGTTATTTATATTTTATTACAGAGAGAATAATTTTAAAAAAACACCAATAATAAAGTTAGATTAATTAAAAAGTGCCAAAAAATATTTATACTTTTAGTAGGCATTGATAAGATTTTATTCTATTTTTCATTTAAAGTTATTTATTTTAATCATCAATTTAAATCAGTAAAAAAATATAGAATTTTTAAATTGTTATTAAACTGAAAAAAATGACTTTGGGTCATTTTCTTTATTTTTATAGATAACCATATTTTAACATTATGCTATAAAACACTGTTTTTTAAATCCTTCCTCGTAATTATTTTCATAAAATTTTGCATACGTTAATTAATTGTTGTTTAAAAACATAACACCTTTATTTTTTGTATTTTTGAAATCTATTTTTTCTATGTTTTTAATTTATATCATGCTTTCATTGTGGCATAGAAAAACTCCTATACTGACTTAAACTTATAAAGTTTTCTTGCATATTTTTGGAGAATATTTTCTACCAATTTTGTGATTTTTTACCTATAATTTTCAAAAGCAATTACTTCCTTACATTTATGGAAAATTCATAGTTTTCTTTTTTTTCACACTCTTGTATGAATTTTTTTTTTTAATTTTATTTTCTATTTTTCCTGCAAAAATATTCCAAGATAAATTTTTCAAATTTGTATTCCACCACAAACGAGATATAAAATTCATGCAAAAAAATAAAAAATAATCCTAACAAAATAGAAAATATTTGAATATCATAAAAACACAATTAAATTCATCAATAAAACGATATTTGTTATCAAAGACTAATTTATTTAATTTATATAGCGACACTTTGGTTACAATTTGAGAAGAAGAAAAATAAACAGATGCAGTCATTCTATGTTTATCACGTGTAAATAAATATACGAATTTAACTTTAGTAGGATGTGCGTCAAATATATCTTAGATAAAATAATTAAAATGGTTATTAAAAAATTAATAACAATAATGATAGTGAGGTTATTGTTCTAATGTTCTTTATTTATAGTTATTTAGAAGAGCAGTGATACCTTCAGAGAAAAACGACAAATTACGGTCATTTGACACTGTTAAATAATAATATTTTAATTATAATTATATTATTTTTTAATTTAAAATTATTATATGTGTTATTGTATTATTAAAAATAGTGTAAAATGATTTTTTTTTTAAATCATGGTGAAACTAACATTTTCCTATTTAGAACGACAGTGGTAAACAAAAAGGTCAAACCTCTTTTCTGTTATTTCATGACAGACTCTTTTCTATGATAGACTGATATTTTGTTTTTAAAACATCGAAGATTATTTGTTTTCTTTTTTAAGATTAAAACGGACAATTATATATGCATGCTACATGGTTTGAGTATAATCATCTCATATCAATCAAACTGTTACCTTTTGCTGAGAAGAAGAAAACAGACAATGGCTCTGGCCTCATCTTCAGCATCCCTTATCACGATCAAGGTCAAGGTCAAACCTTGCATTTTCGGGCCGCCGAGGAGATCCGTCGTTGTTCGGAATTGCGCCAAGCCGACGGCGTCGCCGGTAGCGACAAGCTGGAAAATCGATAGTTGGAGGACGAAGAAGGCGCTTCAGCTTCCGGAGTACCCTGATGCGAATGAATTGGATCAAGTTCTCGAAACCCTTTCTTCTTTTCCCCCTATTGTGTTCGCCGGTGAGGCCAGGAATCTGGAGGAGAAACTGGGTCAGGCTGCGATGGGAAACGCTTTTCTCCTTCAGGGCGGGGATTGCGCTGAGAGCTTCAAGGAATTCAATGCCAACAACATCCGTGACACCTTCCGTGTCCTCCTTCAAATGGGTGTCGTCCTCATGTTCGGTGGCCAAATGCCTGTTATCAAGGTCAATCTTTTCACCGTTCTTTCATTTCATCTTCTGAATTGATTCTTTTTAATTGGGGAAGGATTCCTTTTTCTTTTATTGTGAATTGTTAATTTCTCTCTGGGATAGATTTTGGTGTTTCGAGTGGTGTTTGAGTTAGTGAAGGAATGGGCCCTGGTTTAGAAAAAAAGAATAGTGTAAGTGGGAGCGATATTCGTTACACGAGCATATACCTTTTGGATTGAGAAAGATAAAAACTTGAATACTATTATGGTATTAGAATTTGTCGTGATAGTTGTTGATAGAGTCGTCAGATTACCCGTCTAGTCATCTGACAATCATGTCTAGTCTCGTCTTGTAAATTATAAATTAAAGAGAGTTTTAGTCATTGGTTCAAGAAATGAGTTTGAAATTACAAGTAACCCTCACTTAGGTTCAAACTGAGACCGAGTTAGGTTCAGTTCAAATCCAAATTCTAAAAGAGAATAATGTGTTATGCTGGGGTTAAGAAAAATATCAATTTAAAGCTTTAGCTTTTCCTTATTTAGTAACCAACTTGGAGGAAGAGGATTGTGTCTTTCGTGTATTGTTGTTGGAGCCTTTTTAGATAGAAAGCTAGAAAAGGTTTTCCGCTAGAAAAGAAAAACTGTATTTTTAATAGATGTTCTGGCTTGTCTCCAAACTTACCTCATGATCAAATTCTTCCATTGAGCAATGATTAGATAGTCTTACATGGTGTTGGTTCAAAATTTTATGATGAATGAGGATGACAAGCTTCAGTATTGTATATGGTGCTTCAGGTGGGGAGAATGGCCGGTCAATTTGCAAAGCCAAGATCAGATCCATTTGAGGAGAAGAATGGAGTGAAGCTTCCTAGTTACAGAGGTGACAATGTGAATGGCGATGCATTCGATGTGGCATCCAGAATCCCCGATCCACAGAGGATGGTTAGAGCTTACTGCCAATCCGTGGCTACTCTGAACCTCTTAAGGGCGTTTGCCACAGGTGGTTATGCTGCCATGCAAAGGGTTAACCAATGGAATCTTGATTTCATGCAGCATAGTGAACAGGGAGACAGGTATCATCTCTCACCTTCTCTAAATTTATGTATGGATTTTGAATCGTTGGTATTTTATTAGTTCTTATTCTTCTTTATCCAAAATGGTTTAAATTGAACGGACCCTTTCCATATTGCTCAAAAGACAGTAGAAGATTAAGGAATCCCTCAGCTTTTTTTATATTATTTTTTTGCTGTGGGCAAACAGGTATCGTGAATTGGCTCATAGGGTAGATGAGGCCCTTGGGTTCATGAATGTTGCCGGGCTCACATCCGAGCACCCAATCATAAGTACAACAGACTTTTGGACCTCCCATGAGTGTTTGCTTCTCCCTTATGAACAAGCACTTACTAGGGAAGACTCCACTACAGGGCTTCATTATGATTGCTCAGCTCACATGCTGTGGGTTGGGGAACGTACCCGCCAACTTGATGGTGCTCATGTTGAGTTCTTGAGAGGAGTTGCTAATCCACTTGGCATAAAGGTGATGCTTAAACAAAGCTCTATTTGCCTGTGGTCTTTAATTCGGTATATCTTATTTGTTATTCTCTTTGCATTTGATACTCAAAATGATGCCTGCATAAGCTTGTCTCTATTAATTTGTTATAATTATATTTTGATATGCCCCGTCAACACTACAATCCTGTCTGAAGGGCCTAGGTCCTGTTGGAAATTATCAGTAGTTAGTGTGCTTCTGACAAAAAATTGCAGTTACTGAAAGGCTACATGATTTTCAGGTGAGTGATAAGATGGTGCCAGACGAACTTGTCAAGCTGATAGACATTCTCAACCCTAAAAACAAGCCTGGCAGAATTACAGTAATTGTTAGGATGGGAGCTGAGAATATGCGAGTGAAGCTTCCTCATCTCATCAGGGCAGTTCGCAGAGCAGGACAAATTGTCACTTGGGTTAGCGACCCCATGCATGGGAACACCATTAAAGCCCCGTCTGGTTTAAAAACCCGCTCTTTTGATGCAATAAGGGTAATTTCCTTTTTTCAAGATATATATTTCTGTTTTATACCCAATATTCGATCAATACAGAAGTGGCAAAAAGTATGGTCTTTACAAGGTCATTGCTTTTTAATCCTACTGTACTGTTTAAAGTTCAAGTCGCCTATAAAACTCTCCTAAACCATGCATGCAATTTAACTCATAAATCTTTTCCGTAGATAGGTAATTTCTGATCTTTGTATTTTCCAACCCTGAAATTCAATCAAGTTGATGGATAAAGTTAATGATAAAAATTGTTCATCAGTTCTGTCTATTCTTCTAAAGTAGTTTTGTATATATGGATCTGGCATATAATTGTTTGGCATGTAATTTACTTAATGTAAGAAAGTACTGCTATATCCAAATTTACAGC